GTCTCCACGGACTTTATCGGCGATCCTCATTCGTCCATCTTCGATGCTAGGGCAGGCATTGCCCTCAATGACAACTTCGTTAAGCTTGTTTCCTGGTAAAGGGGAAAGATGCCGGAAGATAGTGGGAGAGGCTAGCAGGAGGGCGGGCGTGCGCGCACGCACACACACACACACACACACATGCCTCCGGGCACACACACACACAGATGCCACACACACACACAGATGCCTCCGGGCACACACACACACACACACACACACACACACACAGATGCCTCCGGGCACACACACACACACACACTGATGCCTCCTTCCTCCCCTCCCCAGGTACGACAACGAATATGGCTACAGTAACCGGGTAGTGGACCTCATCCGCTACATGTTTAGCCAGGAGAAGTAACCCGGAAGGCCCCTCCTTGCTTTTCCCCTCGGGTCCCCTTAGAAAGAGGTCGCGTGGCTCTCCAGAGTCAACAATGAAATAAAAACCAATGTGCGCACAGCTTCGTCCTCTTGTCTCTGCGCCGATCACCGTGCGTTTGGGGCCGGGTTCTCGGATAGGCGAGAAAGAGGTGGCGCTTGGTTCCGAGCCGGGTACCACTTAGGGAGAGCAAACGCATCTCTGCCATGGAGGGCAGGTGCTGTCGAAACACCAGCATCAGGCTCTGGAAGCCCGGCAGCGGGGCAGGCGATCGGCGCTCTGACGTCATGGCGCGCGACGTGCCAGGCGGGACTACAATTCCCATAAGACCGCGCGTGGGCCACGGCAATCAGGTGGGCGCCAGGCCCGGGTGCCGGCGAGGCCGAGACCCCTTGCCCAGAGGAGGCGCCGCCGGGCGAGTTCCGCGCTGGCGGGACCGGGCGGCCGGCGTCATGACCCTGTTCCACTTCGGGAACTGCTTTGCCCTCGCCTACTTTCCCTATTTCATCACGTACAAGTGCAGCGGCCTGTGAGTGCAGGGCGGGCGCGGGGCGGAGAGGGTGCGGGTCCTGGGCCGACCCCTCACCGCCCCCTTCTTCAGGTCCGAGTACAACGCCTTCTGGAAATGTGTCCAGGCCGGGGTCACCTACCTCTTTGTGCAGCTATGCAAGGTGAGGGACTCCGGGACTCCACGTGTTTGGCCTCCAGGCATTCCAGACCTCAGGGACCCGGATCTGCTGCTGTTGCGCTCCCTGGGACAACCCTCGAGACAAAGCTTAGGGACTGTGCCCGAATACCTTAGAAGGGGTGGAAGCCCAGCAGAGTCCTTGGTGCAACTTTTTCTTAGCACTTTTGGTAAAACTGAGGAAACCCCTTAAGTGTTGGCTAAGTGAGATTTCACCCACAGGGTGTCGCATGGTGCTGCTTACGCTAGGCATGCTTTCACTCCGGCATTTCTAGACTTCAGATTCCCGTGTGAACTTCTAGACTTCTCGGGAACTGGGCATCTGCCCCCTGTGCCCCCTGCTCTTGTGATCTTGCCACTTCCACCCGGCATAACCCCAGAACCCAGCGTTCAGCCCTCCTCCTCTTGCAACTCAGTCACTGTCCACAATGTCCGCGTAGTTTTATTGCCCTCACCTTCAGGTGACCTTCCCACTTTCTTTTCTCAGATGCTGTTCTTGGCCACTTTCTTCCCCACCTGGGAAGGTGGCATCTATGACTTCATCGGGGTGAGTTGGACACGGCAGGGGCAGGGAGTGCAGGAGTGTGTTCACCTGGCCCCTGTGTGTGCTCACTCGTCTCTGCCTGACCCACAGGAATTCATGAAAGCCAGTGTGGATGTGGCAGACCTGATAGGCCTAAACCTTGTCATGTCGCGGAATGCAGGCAAGGGGGAATACAAGATCATGGTTGCTGCCCTGGGCTGGGCCACTGCTGAGCTCATTATGTCCCGGTGTGTGGAGCAGCCTGGAGCCTAGGCTTCTGGGTCTCACAGGAGTGCTGGAGGGTGGGGACCAGAGTCTGGGTGTTCAGGGGGTCTGGGTACTAGAGAGTCCCTCCCTTTGCCTTCCTCAGCTGCATTCCCCTCTGGGTGGGAGCCCGAGGCATTGAATTTGACTGGAAATACATCCAGATGAGCATTGACTCCAACATCAGTCTGGTATGCAGTCTTGTCCGTGCCCACCTTTATGCTGTTAACCATACTTCTCCCCCAAACTTGGCCCCAGCTTCCCACTTCTTTCCCTCCTCCCTGCAGGTCCACTACATCGTGGCAGCAGCTCAGGTCTGGATGATAACACGCTATGACTTGTACCACACCTTCCGGCCTGCAGTTCTCTTCTTGATGTTTCTTAGTGTCTACAAGGCCTTTGTCATGGAGTGAGCCGGCTGGGGTTTGAGGTTGGGTTCAATTGGGGGTGTGTTTTCTCTTTCCATTCCTCATTGTGTTTTTTTCCCCACAGGACCTTTGTCCATCTTTGTTCCTTGGGCAGCTGGACAGCGCTGCTGGCCCGGGCAGTAGTGACAGGCCTGCTGGCCCTCAGCACCCTGGCCCTGTATGTTGCTGTTGTCAATGTACACTCCTAGCTTGGTGGCCCAGGTGTTGATGTACCTTCTCGCTGCCTCTCTCCAGATTTTAGTGAAGTAAACGGTGTTTGGAAAGTTTTTTGTGCGTCCGTTTCTCTCTCAGAAATGAATCCTAGGACTGTGCCACTTAGGGCCCACAGAGCCTGTCTGGCTTTGGAACCAGGGAGACAAGCTGGCCAGACCTGGTTTCCCCATGGGTGCTTGAGGGCTTGATAATTGTGTGATAAGCTAAGGAATGGGCACACTAGAGTTGAAGAGGAGGATTTGAGTGGAGGAGAATTCCTCCTGTCCTTACAGCTCGATCTGAGCCCTCTTCCATGTGGAGCCTTCCCTGGGTTGGCTGCCTCCAACACTCAGCCCCCCCCCCTTCCCCACTCTGATCCATCCACCGTGTGACAGCTGGGGGTGCTGATTTGAAACCTGTCTAACTGGGTCACCATCCTCGGCTTGTAACTCTCTGGTGCTTGCTTCATTGCACAGTTGATAGTAGCCTATGCCCTTGCCCTTGATATATCTAGAGCTGCTCCTTGGAATGATTTCCCTAGTCAAATTCCTATAATCATAAGGCACAGGCCACTATGAAGAGTTCCTTGACTCTGAGCTTCTCCATGCTTTGACTCAGTTCTGCAGCCTTCAACTTAAATCCTGGCCTAAGTCTCTTAAGGTGGAGTTGTGGGTCAGCTAAATAGCCACATAGCACCCAAGCCCACCAACTTGGATACTGCCCTAGATACTGATTCCACCACAATGATCATTCCCGTTGTGGGCCATTGGGCTAGGCCTTTGCTCCATCCACTCCATCTTCCTGAGAAGGATGTTAGAACCAAGGCCTTGAATGTCCATTTAAGCTCCACCTACAGTCCCGGGAAGGTGCTTCTCGGCCTTGGTCTTCCCACTGTCACTGGGCTCTTAAGATTCTGCATGTTGTTTAACCTTAGACATAGGAAAGGACACTTTCTGTAGGCTTGGCATGACCGTCTGATTACAGAAGGCACATTTTTCCATCACGTGGGCCTACCTCCTTCCCTGACCCTTCCTCAGTGCCCTGAGGATCCCCAGTAGCTTTGGTACCGAGAGTAAAGAATGTCCTTGACTTTGCATGGACTGAAAGTGGATGGGGTGCACACTGGATATACTCTGGGGTCAGTTTCTGGTACACCCCTGTCTTGAGGCCTGCCTGGCCCTCCATGGAGATGACGGAACTAACCAGGGTCCTAATGGAGAAGCCGGGGCTGTGGTTAGAGGTCTGGATGGAAAACAGGGTTTACTGGAACTACCTTACAGAAACTACCTTACCCAACCTGTAGGCAGGAGGGTGCTAGGGGAGGACACATCAGCTAAGTTCTAAAGGACCGGTTGGTGGCCAAGCAGAAAAGGAAGTGTGGGAGTGGACGGAAAGGCCTGGGTAGGACTGATGGCCTGGCTTCTGGGATGCATCAGACTTTGGTTCCAGATCAGCAGGGCTTGAGACATAGTCTAGTAGCAGGGCCTAGAGCTGCTGGCTATGACGTTGACCAGGGCAGTGGGAGTTTTACCGGGGTTGGTTGGGGGTTTTGGAAGCTGTGCATGGTGGTGATACGGAAAGAGACAAGCCAGAAGGCCTGGGTGGAAGAGTCCCTGAGCAGAGTAGGGAAGCCGCTTGAAGCCGAGAAGTGAGGTAGTGACAGTGAGCTGCTGATTGCTTTTGTTGATTGGTAGTAGGCTAAGTGGGGAGGTGACAGGTAAGGAGCAAGAGTCCAGGACACCATTCACTGGGGCTTGACAGCTCCCAAGAGCCTCCCACACTTCCCAGGGAGACCCACCCTGTGTCAGGGAGACTGGACAGCAAGTGGGAGCAGCTTTGAGAGTGTTGGAAAGGCCAGTGTGAGTTACCTCCGTCCCAGCAGGAGAGCTGGAGACAGGTGTGGGCATGACAGGTGAGGGCTTGAGGGCTGGGGTGGGGTGGGGGCGGCCAACAGGAAGCAGAAACAAGCTCCTGACACAGAGGTTCCCAGGGAAGGGGATGGGGCATTCCCAGCAACTGGAGGAGCTGGCTCTTCGGGAGGCAGGAGTTTGTGGGAGAACCCCCATGATTTGGTAAGGACACAAGGGCACAGGTGGAATCAGAGATGACCCCGTGGCCCCTGGCAACAGGCTGCTTGCTGTGGATGTTTGCATCCCTGTGCCAAGAAGCTGGAGGGGGGGGGGGTGCTATTGAGAATACCCCATACAGGGCTCCAGGGGCAGTGGGATGATTCAAGGCCATGTTCTGGATGGTGTCTGAGCTCATATCCCAGCTGGTCTTTAAGTTTTGGTGCCTTAGGCAAAGAAAGGGGAAGGAATTTCCCCAGGGGAATCTGTTTGAATCCCCACTCCGCTCCAAGTTCTGCCCTAGTCCCTGCGGACACTCAGCCCTGTGGTAGGATTGTGGGAAGGTGAGGGTACTGGTAAACGTGACTGCACAGTTGGTGTGGTCAGGCTTTATTACTGTCCAGCAGAACGTGATGGGCACGTAACAGCCCCAGGCAGCCTTCTGTCCCGATGGAGGGCGTGGGATGGGCATGCATCCAGAGCAACTGCCCACTGCTTAGTCTAACCCTTCCCACCTCAGAGGTCTGCCTGGGGTGTGGCTGCTCCAAGAGGGTGTGGGACTCCAGGGTGAGGGGCGTATGGGCTGCAGAAGTGGGCACAGCCAGGGCTGGGAATCAGTTGCGTAGATGTTTTGGTGGCCGCCCCTTAGTCTCATCTCCATCGTGCTGCTGGTAGGTGGAGGATAACTGAAGGCTGCAGTCCCTCTAATAGTAGAGTTCCTGGTCCCACCAGCCTGGAGGAGAGAGGAGGAAGGAAGCTCAGGGCTGGGTTACACAAGCAAGAACAGGTTATACGCACTAGAGATTTGATTTCGAGGGCCCCAGGCTTGAAGTCCTATGTTAAGGGTCAGGGGTCTAAGGCTTCTCAGTCCCCACTGCCAGGCCCCCAGCCTCCACACTCACTCCCTGGGCAACAGCGAACTCCAAGTTTCCGGATCTCATCATAGACGAAGATGAGGAGGCCAAAGGGCATGGGGACCAGCCACCACTGGAACCTGAAGAACGGGCAAGGGATGGCAGGATCAAGGCTGTGCCAGGTCTGTGTCCCACATCTCCCATCCCTTTGCCAGCACCTCACAGCTCCTCACCGGATGGGCATGAAGTTGAAGATATTGGGCATCCCTGGGCAGTAGCACAGGAAGCAGCCAATGCAGACCTGGAACACGATAGCTATCACCAGGATCCTGTTCCTGTTGGGGAGGAAGGACTCAGGCCCGGGACAGAGACAGACCAACTATCTGAAGTTGGAAAACAGGAGGAACTGAGGGAGGTCGTCACAGCAGTAGGAAGATGTCCTAAACCTGTGACTGTAATGGCCATCCTCGGGAGCAGGAGCTGGCCCTCTTGGCCTCAGCCCTTAGCTGAGATAAGGGAGGACCCTGATGGCAGCCACTGGCCAGCTGGTAAGGTCGTATTTCCATGGTTTGCACTCAGCTCACTACATCTGGTGCTGGCATTTGCTGGTTGGAAACTGGTAGGCTCTGGGACTGGGGACAGGAGGGCAGGGCTGGGGACAGCTGGGGACACCTGAAGAAGCCCTGCTGGAAAGCAGAGAGGCGGCGTGTCTTGCGGATGAGGACGTCAGCAATCTGGCACATCTCGATGCTGATGAAGAACACGGTGTAACAGGTGTATTGCTGGTATAGACGCTGACCAAATGTCTGTAGACCAGGAAGGGACAGAGGCAGCCTGAGCCTGGGCCAAGAGCCTCTGCCACCTCTTGGGCACTGAGATCCCTAAACTCCCTTCTCTCACATCACAGGCTGGGGCTGCAGGCCCGCAGCATCTGGAGGGACTTGGGGAGCTCTGCCTGGACTGACTGATGGACCATGGGGTTTCCCCTGAATGCCAAGGAAGGAGCCTGGGCAGGAGATTTGGAGGATCCTCAGAGAAACGTGACAGTGGCCAAGGAGGTGGCAGAGAGGGACGTGAGCAAGAGAGAATGCATGCCCACATGGGGGGAGCTGCTGTATATGCTGTTCCTTCAACGCCAGTGCGTGTGCACGTGCGTGCATGCATGCATGCATGCATGCATGCATGCGTGCGATGCTATATAGCCCTGACTGGCCTGGACCTCACAGAGATCCACCACTCATCTTAATAGTTGCCAATAGTGTAGGAATCACCTGGGCTCCAGGCAGCCAGTGCAATATCTCTTTTATCCATCCGGTAAAACAGCAGAATGACAGGCACCAGACTCCCAGAGTTTCTGATCAGAGGCCCCAGGTGGGGCCTGAGAACTTACATTTCAAGTGAGTTCTCTGGAACAGACTGGGAAGGGAGGCATGGACAGGCCACGCAGCTTGTAGGATCCATATAGTATAGTGGATCCAGGCTAGCTCCAGACTGCATTCTGTCTGTTTGTTTTAGTTTTTCGAGAGTTTCTCTGTATAGTTTTTGGTGCCTGTCCTGGATCTCGCTCTGTAGCCCAGGCTGGCCTTGAACTCACAGAGATCCACCTGGCTCTGCCTCCTGAATGCTGGGATTAAAGGCGTGCACCACGGCCGCCTGGCCTAGACTGCATTCCTAACTGTGACAGTGGCTATGGGGAACATGTTACTCTTCAAGACAAACTAAACACAGCTGGCCACAGCTGGCCTCAGCTGGCCTCAGCTGGCCACAGCTGGCCTTACTGCCCTTGAAGCCTTCAGTGAAATAGGTGCCACACACCAGAACTCTGTGTGAATGACATTACGGGGGAAATGACAGAAGAAGACCGGGTGAGCCTGAGATTAAGTGGTCTGTCTGTAGCAAGAGGGCCACCTCTGTTGGGAGCCTGGGAAGCAGAAGGTGGAGCCAAGGATGGTGAGGGAAAGTCTCCTCCCCACAGCAACTACAGAGGTGGGGTGGGGGTGGGGGTCCAAGACACTGGCTGAACTATCCCAACAAAGGTACATGGCACTGGGCAAGAGGAAGTGGGAAGGGGATGATGGCGGGCAGAGCTCACCCATTCCTGGCCGTAGCTGTCTTGGAGATCTTGTAGGTGGTGGTCCTCCCACTGTGGCCGCAGCCCCACACACAGCAGAGGGAACCAACCCTCCTGGGCCATGGCCGTGAAGTAGTCAGCAAAGCCTGCAAACGACTGAATGGCACCTGGAGAAGGCGAGACACAGGAGTGTGGGAACAGAGATGGAGACAGACACAAAAACCAAGCACATACACAGAGCAGGGACATGGGACTCACAAGAAACACGCACAGAGAAACAGAGAGAACCCCCAAAGACCAAGCACTGACCCTGAGACAGCAGGGTTAGCATTATACACTGGGACCAGAAAGGCCACCTTGAATAGATAGGGACATATAGCAACCGAGCCCCAGAGCCCCGGCCAGGAAGCCCACAGCAGGTGGGCAGTGCCTGGGGATGCCAGTCTTGGGCGACAGGGCTTACCAATCTGGAAATAGGAATAAGCAGCCAGGGGTTCGTTGACCAGCCGGTCCCGCCGGGGGTTCCGTGGACGCAGGTGCATGATGTCACTCTCGGCCTTCTCATATGCCAGGGACACAGATGGGAACTAGCCAGGAGCAGAGGGATGCAAGGTTGGGGGTAGCCTGGGCCACTGACTCCTCTCACTCGAAAGCCAACCACCTCACAGACACACCTCTAGGTAAGAACAGGAGGGAGTCCTGCAGCCGCACACAGCCACACCTGCCCGACAACCTGGGCCACTTGGCATGTCTGGGTCACATGAGTCCTAGTGTCCATCTCCATACAAATGTCTGCCTTTTGTTTTTTGTTTAAGACAGGGTCTTAAACATGTAGCTGAGGCTGGCCTCAAACTCACTATGTAGCTGAGGCTGGCCTTGAGCTCCTGTTCTTCCTACCTTCTCCCAAGTGTCCCAAGGCTGGGATTAGAGGTGTGCATCAGCACACTTGGCAGATGTCTGCCTCAGTCCCAGTAGCCTTTGACCTTGGCTGGCCCCTCTTCTCCCTCTCCCTCCCCACCACTCTTCCTCCTCCTTCTCTGGATTTCCGGTCTCTGTGCTGTGGTACTCAGTCTGTTTCCTGGTGCTGTGCCTTTCTTCTCCCTTCTTTCTCTCGCCCCCCACCCACCCTTCTCTCTAAGGGTTTGTTTGCAACCCAGGCTGACTGTGAACTCACTATGTAGCTAAAGAGAGCCTCGAACTCACGGTCCTCCTGCCTCTGCTTCCCAAATGTTAGGGTCACAGGCATGTGTTGTAACACCGACCTCTGTCTCTCTGTCTCTGTCTCTGTCTCTCTCTGTGTGTGTGTGTGTGTGTGTGTAGGGACAGTCACTGCTGGGGTGGCAGCAGAATGGACTGATCAGGTCCTAGGGAACATGGTTGCCTGAGCTCAGATCCCAGCTGGGGCCACGCCTTAGCTGAGGGACCTGGGGCAAGCAAGCCACTCAGCTTGTCTGTGATCAGCTTAGTCAGATGATCAGCAAGATGGCGAGAATCACAAGAAAGCCCGTCCTGAGGGCATTGAGGAGAACATTAAGTAAGTTAGTGTGCATTTAGCTGAATCAGCACGGGTAAGGTGTTGAGCACACCCTCCAAAAGGGGCCCATGTCTGCTGCCTTCAGGGCTGCATCACAAGGAGGTCTGTCCTCTGTGTGCTGTGGAATATCTGTCTGTTAACCACTCGTGACTAGATACCTATGCCTGTAAACAACTCCAGTTATTCTTGCTTTCTGTTTTGTTTTGTTAGCAGGGTCTCACTGTGTAGTCCAGGCTGGCCTCAAACTTGATATTCTCCTGTCCCTGCCTCTCGTGTGCTAGGATTTTAGTCAAACTGGTATGTGTTTGTCTAAGTGTCTGTAAGTCTTCTGTATCTGTGGCTCTCTCCTACCTATCTGCCAACCTCTGTGTCTATTTCTGGATGTCTGTTGATCTAAACTATTCATAATGATCTTGGTCCATCATGTCCATCCATGAGTGTATGTCCGGGGGCACAGTGGGGTGGGGGACCCAAGCATCAGACTGGAGACTCACAATGTCTGTGCAGAGCTCTATGAAGAGAATGGTGATGCACCCAAGGGGTAGGGGCACACTGACAGTGATATAGATGAGGTAGGGCGTCAGTTCTGGAATGTTCTTGGTCAGTGTATAGGCGATGGATTTCTTCAGGTTGTCAAAGATCAGTCGGCCTGTGGGGGCAAAGCAGGTACCTCAACCTCCTCCCAGCCAGCTTCCTCCTGAGCCCTCATGGCCTGCCCCATCCCTAGCAGGGCACAGACCCTGCTCCACGCCCGTCACAATGGAAGCAAAGTTGTCATCCAGCAAGATCATGTCAGCAGCATTTTTAGCAGCATCCGAGCCAGCAATACCCATGGCTACACCAATGTCGGCTTTCTTCAGGGCCGGGGAGTCATTCACACCATCCCCTGTTACAGCCACGATGGCACCCTGAGAGCAGCAGGTCAGGTGAGTAGGAGGTCAGAAAGATACCAGCCCATGGCCAGCCTAGCCCCTCACCACTCTCCTCAGCAGGGTCTCACCAGTCGCTGACAGCTCTCCACAATGACCAGCTTCTGCTGGGGACTAGTGCGAGCGAACACCATCTCAGGGTGGGTACGCAGGGCCTCCACCAGCTCAGATGGGTCCATGTCCTTCAGCTGCATGCCATTGATCACACAGGCCCGGGCGTCCCTGCAGGAGGAGAGGGTCTCACTGGGGTCTCACTATTGGGGGGCGGTGAGGAGGAACCACAGGGAGGGCTGATGAGGACGTACTTCCGATTAACCTGGTCCACGGGCATGCGGAGGCGGGCAGCAATGTCTTCCACTGTCTCACTGCCTTCTGAGATGATGCCCACACTGGCTGCGATGGCCTTGGCTGTGATGGGATGGTCACCGGTCACCATGATCACCTGTGGGAAGACCAGCACGCCCTTACCTCTTCAGACCAGTGCAGCGTCCCCCTCCTCCCTGGTAGATATCTGCTGACACAATCATCATTCGGCAAGCATGACCACCTGCTGTGCCTAGGCCAGAAGAGACAACTGTCCCTGTCCTTACACAGCTGACTTTCTAATGCCGGGAGATAGAAAGTAGGCAAGAGAAGCGAGTGAACTGTACAGCACAGTAAGAGGGGGAAATAAACTCACTGAGGGAAGCAGTGGCCTAAATGTGCACCAAGAAGACTTCACTGGGGAGGTGACATATGAGCAGAGACCTAGACGTGAAGAGTTGGCCACACAGAGATTTGTAGGAAGAACACCTTGGCAGAAGAATAGCCAGGTGCAGAGGTCCTGAGGCAAGAGCATGCCTGAGTTGTGGAGATACAGCACCGAGCGAGCCAGGAGTGAACTCCAGGTAGGCGGCTGAGTGCCTCTTCCCAGGCTATGGACTAAAGGGAGTTCCACGGCCGAGACTGAGCCAGTGAGCCCAGACACAGCTGGCCAGCAAAGGCACTCTATCCCCCAGCCACCCAGCTGGCGTGAGGGGAGCCCGAGGTCTTCTCTGCACTGAAGTGTTGCTTGAGATTAAAGCCGGAAGAGACATGAAGGAAACTAGAGGCCGGGAAAGGCAGCTTCCTAACCGCCCCGAGCTCCTGGATACACCTACACATGGAGCCTCCTTCCCCAGGACTTCTTATCATGAACCAGTACAGTTTAATTCAGGACAGTTACAGGTGGGTTTCTGTCATCTTCTGTCCTCATCCCCCAGCGGGCATACCCGGATGCCTGCCGTGCGGCATTTGAGCACAGCATCAGGGACGGTGGCCCGGGGAGGGTCAATCATGGATACGAGTCCCGCAAAGCAGAGGCCACTACTTGGAAAGTTCATGGCCTCCACATCGAAGGTATAGCCAGGTGGGTAGTCCTTCTCATTCAGGTAGAGCTGGCAGAAACCTGACCAGAAAAATGGGAATGAGGAGTCTGGGCAGATGCTGTGCTATCAGGACCAGCAGAGCCAGGCTTGTGGAATAACGGGCCCCTTGCACCAGCTGTGGGTGCTAGATCCTGAGCCCATCCTCACCACCCTATGAGGTGCACCCCCACCCTGCATTTGAGGAGACTGAGGTCCAGAGCCAGGCACGGCCTGCAATCCCAGCACTTGGGAGGTAAAGGTAGGAGGATCCAGAGTTCCAGGACAATCTGAGCTACATTAGGTTGTTGAAAGGAAGGAAAGAAGGGAGGGAGGGAGGGAGGGAGGGAAGGAATAAAGGCAGGCTGAGAGAGGAAACATTTCTTTCAATGTTAAGTGAAAGGCAGAACTGGACCACGGGTCTGTGCCTTCCAGGACCCCCAGGGGTTAGGGAGGTTGAAAGGGGAAGACAAAAGTTGGGAGGATCACAGGTAAAGTCAAAGGAGGGACATGGAGGCAGAGGCAGGCCAGCCTGGGCTACAGAGGGAGTTCTGGACAGCCAGGATGAATAGTAAGGCTGGTGCAGAGAACAGGACAAGGGTCCTGGGAAGGTCCAGCATGGAGATAAGGACAAGGAAAGATCAGAAAGTCAAGAGGACACAGGACCATATAGATGGAGCAAGGGCTGGAAAAAGGCGGTGCAGGCAAAGTAAGTACAGGGGTAGTCAGGGTGAAGACCTAAGAGTGTCAGTTATGGGGTCAGGAACTACACAGTGAAAGGAAATCAAGGGTGACGCGGGGGCAGACCAGCCCCTGGGCCAGCGGTGGGAGAAGTTAGGGCCAGCAGCCATAGAGCCTTCTTGCCTAGCATGCACAAAGCTACAAGGCCGTTGGCTCCATCCGCAGGGCCACACGAAAAAAACCAAAAGGTCAGGTCTGGGCCAGGCAGTTTGGAGGGGTCTGTGCCCATCCCTCTTCACACACTGTTCCTCCCAGGGCGTCTCTCACCAAGGACGCGTTCGCCCAGGCCTCCCAGGCTGAGGTAGGCAGTCTGGAAGGCCTCACGCCATTGCTCATCCAGGGGAAGCTCCTGGCCTTTGATGAGGATGGAGCTGCAGCGTTCCAGTACGCGCTCGGGGGCGCCCTTCATCACCAGCAAGTGCCGGGAGTCCCGCGGATCCTCGAGCGTGTGGATGGATAGCTGTGGGCGGAGGGAGGGACGGAGCTGCAGGACTAAGACTTGGAGGGGTGGGGTCGACGGGTGTGGCCATGGTTACGGGGCGTGGTCACACGAGGAGGGGTCCTAAGAGTGCAGGGTCCTGCCTGAAGCAGAGAAGCCCCTCTGCCGGCGGTGCTGTGGGCGAGGTTTGGTTGAGCAGGGTCTAGTGTGTGGGCGTGGTCTATCTGAATGTGGGCGGGATCGTGAGCTGGATTGACATGAAATTGAACCTCGTCTGGAAGAGTAAGAGGCCCGCCCCCACTGTGGCTTGGCCTGTTGTGGATCAAGCCCAATGTGCAGCGCACCTGGAACTTGTTGGTGGAGTTGAAGGGGATCTCGCAAACTTTGGGGAAGCGGTCCCGGTAGCCCATGGCGTTGCCCAGCGTCAGCTCCGAGAATTTGAGCAGTGCAGTCTCAGACGCGTCTCCGATCACGATGCGCTGAGAACAGGGTCCAGTGTGAGGGTCGGAGCCCGCGTCACCAGGCTCCAGACATGACTCTCTGGAATCCCCCGGTCTCTCACCTTGGGCACCGGCACTGCGTCCTGGCCAGACTTGAAGGCGGCGCGGTTGCACAGGGTGAGCACGCGGCACAGCGCCCGCCACGTCTCCGAGGACTGGTCGAATGTCTGCCCTGGAGACCAGACGTCAGGGCTGGGACCTCAAGAGAGTCGACCTCCCAAACCAGAGCAGAGCCCCTCCCACTGCACTACCAGGCATGGATAGTACCCCACTTCCTCTTGTATCCCAAGGCAGAGCTCTCTCCAAACACCGTATGGAGCCTCCAGGAGTCCAGATTCCCTTCACAGACCTGCTAAACTCCCACACAGGACCCTGGACCTGCCACTTCTCATAAATGCAAAGACTGTCCTAGGCACCCCATCAGACCACCAACTACATCCGGTTCTGGCGCCTTCCCCTCCCACCCCCACACCTGACTGGTCTTCCGTGGTGTCCGCTGTGTGGATGTGGTTGTCAAACCATAGATGGGACACGGTCATGCGGTTCTGAGTGAGAGTTCCAGTTTTGTCTGAGCAGATGACTGATGTGGAGCCCAGGGTTTCCACTGCTTCGAGGTTTTTGACCACACAGTTTTTACTGGCCAGACGCTTTGCTGTCAATGACAGGCAGACCTGCAGACAGATGGGGTCACAGGCATGGCCCGGCCCTGCCACCAGCCCTATGTCCCCTCCCTGTACTCCAGCTGCTATACTTGGAGTGCAGGATTCCTGGAGCCAAAAAGCAAACCGGATTTGTTCTTGCCTCCAGGCTGTTTGCAGCCCATGCCATGCCCAGTGTCTCCAGATACTCCCACTGAGCTCTCTCCCAGCTCATATCAACACAATGGAAGTGAGAAAATGACTTCTGAGCCTCCCTTCTCTAGGTGGGTCTTGGGCTGGGGCTGACTTCCTACGGGACCTCATCTTCCTTAGTCCAGAACCCGCTTGTTCATCTCTGAACCCTGGTGTGTGCTGTGGGCCCAGCCCAGAGCAACCTGGTAAATATTTACTAAATGGATGGATGATGTTGGGTGGGGAGGGGAATAAATAGATGGACAGGTGGAAGTCTGGTGGGATGATCAGACAAGCAGCTCTGTTCCCTGCACCTCCTTCTGTCTCCCCTACTCACTGTGACAGTAGCCAGCAGCCCCTCAGGCACATAGGCTACCACAATGGCCATAAAGAAGACCATGGCCCGAAGGAAGGTGTAGCCGATACACATGGCCACCACAAAGAATGTGGCACCGAAGAGGATGGCCAGGCCCGCAATGATGTCCACAAAATGTTCAATCTCGATTGCAATAGGAGTCTTCTCATTTTCCACACCCGAGGCCAGCGATGCTATGCGCCCAATGATGGTCCGGTCACCGGTGCTCACCACCAGGCCCTGCGCTGTGCCTGTCATGGAGAGGAGAGCTCAGGGTGGGGTGGGCAGCATCAGGGGAGTGCTCTGTGGTGGGAAGGCATGTGGCATGCATCAGAGAAAACAGAAAGGGGCTGCTATGGGAAGTGTGGAGGCTGTGTGGCTTCAGGGCAGGGTAGCAATGCTTCACAGACCCTCCAGACACATGGTGGAGAAGAAGGCGATGTTGCGGGTCTCCAGGGGACTCTCATGTGTGCAGTCAGGTGAGCGGGTCTGTGGCTCAGACTCTCCGGTGAGTGAGGAATTGTCCACCTTGCAGCCCTGGGCTGACAGAATTCGGATGTCTGCTGGGACACGGTCCCCGCCTTTCATCTCCACCAGATCGCCCACCACAAGCTGATCTGCATTGATCTGGAACTTGTCCCCATCTCGGATTACAGTGGCTTGCTGTGGGACAGGGATGACAATAGAAGTTGCTTACTGTCATGGAGTCATGGGAGGTGATAACTGGGAAGAGCTGAAGGCTAGCACAAGAGATGGAAGCCATAAATAAGGACAGATTAGGGCTGGCGGGTGGGTCCCCTGGAGATGGCAGGACATGGCCTGGGGTGGTTTGGAGACTCTGGGAGTCTGAAGAGAGAGGTAGCAGGCTGGAGGAGCTACCTGGGGTACGAGATTCTTGAAGCTGGCGATGATATTTGTGCTCTTGAACTCTTGGTAGTAGCCAAAACAGCCAGTAACTACAACCACAGCAATGAGTGCCAGCGCCAGGTACAGCTGCAGAGTGAGACGCACAAAGGTTTTATACATAGGAGTTAGAAGCCACCTCTTCGAGGCCACTGTCCCTCTCCAGAGTCCCCTGGTGTTCCTGGGAATTTCTTCACTCTACCAAGAAGCCTCATGTGCTTTTCCTGCAATCCAAGCCGGGTCCCTGTGGTCTATAAATGCCAATCCACTTGCCTTATATCTCCAGTGTCTGTCCACGCTCCTAATCCCACAGCCCCTGGCTCCTGATCTCCCATGTCGCCATATGGTTCCATGTTTCTTGGTCTACTCCTGCCTCCCCTAAGGCCTGCATCCGACATGTCTCCTCGTGTTTCTGTCCCATATTGTTTTTCCTAATCCATATGCCACCCTGGGCCCCTGTGCCCACCGGTCCCTATGTCATCTGGTCTCCATCCCTGTGTCAGTGCCGCAGACCTACGCCATGATTGGTCTGCGTGTCCCAAATGCCAAGTCTGTGTACCTCTGAGTACCAATCCCACGTCACTTGACCTATGATTTTTCAAGCCCGTGTCCAGTGTCACAAATGTCACCTCATGTCCTCTGTCTGACCCTGACACGTATCCAATGTCCTCTCTACATCTCCATTTCCTCTACCCTCTGTGTCTCTGTGTGCTGTGTCTGGTGCTAAGTGTCCCTTATGTCTCAGTCCAAGTCCTTGTGTCCCCTGCCCCATGTCCTTGACCTGTCCTGTGTTCTCATTTCCTCTTATCTTAGATTTTGCAGTTCCATTTCCCACCTGTGTTCCCCCATCCAAGAGTCCCTCGTGACCTATGTCCTCAGGTCTGTCCCATAGCCCAGTGTCCTCCGTTCTCCGTCCCTGTCTCAGACCTGCATCTTAATGTTTCCGTATTCTCGTTCTACATCCATCTGTTGGGAGTCCTGGGCTCAGTGTAACTGTTCCCCAGGCCTGCCCCAAAGCATCCTGCACTCACGTTGTCATCTGTGGTCAGGTCACCCTCGCTGGCCTGGATGGCAAAGGCAATGAGGCAGATTGCAGCAGCCACCCACATGAGGCACTGCAGACCGCCTGCCAGCTGCCGGGCGAACTTCACGTACTCAGGAGTACCGCGAGGAGGCCGCAGCGCGTTGGGCCCATCCCTCAGCAGCAGCTCAGCTGCCAGACTCGAAGTCAGGCCCTGGGGACAGGCAGGTGCGGTCATGGCAGAGGCCGCAGGGTCTTACCTCCCCCCCTTTTCTCTCTCCTCCTCTCTTGTCCCCTCCTCTTTTCTTTCTCCTCTTTCCCCATTTCCTTTCTCCCTCCATCGTTCTCTTCTCTCCCCTCTCTCTTTAGTCTCTAACTCCTCTCTTCCTCTCCATCTCTCCCTCCCTCTCCCCCTTTCCTCTGTTTCTCTAGGTCTTTCTTCACCTCTTCTCCATGTCTCTCTTCCTCTCTCTCTGTATCTCTCCCTTTCTCTTCATCTATCCACCTCCCAGTACACACATGTGCGTACGCACGCACGCACGCACGCACACACACACACACACACACACACACACACGCACACGCACACGCGCACACTCACACACACACTGCTCTCTGGTGCTTCTCTCTCCCTGTCTTCCCCTCACTATGCTCCTTCCACTCCTAGCTCACCTTGGTAGCACTGGTCCGATACTTCTGCTCCAGCTCAGACACTGACAGCTGGTGGTCGTTCTGGGGGATGGAAGAGGACCCTCACTGTCTGGCTCTCGCAGCCCCGCCCTTCCCACTGACGGGCTCCCAGCCCCCACCTCAATTCTGCCCAGGCTCCAGATCCCATGCTCACAATCTCCATCTCCTTCTTCATGTTCTCCAGCTTCTCCTTCTTCTTGCCTCCCCCACCGCCCTTCTTCTTGCTCATCTTGGCGGCCATGTCCCCACCGGGGCCAGACCCCAGTTCCACTGAGTACAGTTCGTAATTCTCCTGAGGATGGGATGGAGCAAAGGAGACATCAGGTGCCACGGGACTTCTAATGCATGCCTGCCCCCCCCCCACCCACACACACAGCCCCAAACATCCCCAGGTGCCACTCACTGCCTTCCCCATGGTGCTGGTGTTCTGCCCTCTTTGGTCTGTAGAGCTCAGTTAGGGTCTGGACCAGGCTTGATATACCCAGGGAGGGGTGGGGGTGGAGCAGAACCAGCTGATTACAGCTGATTATGAGGCTCCTTGGGGTAACCTTCAGGCTTGGACAACTCAGACATTTTCTATTGGGCTGACCCAACCTGCCCAAACCCTGTTGCCACCTGTCACTCAGATCAGGAACCCCTGGGCTGTAACAGCCATAAATCAACCAGGAGAGGAGCATACACGGGTTACTCATTTCATGCCAGCAATGTGTTGGGGGCTTTCACATATTCATTCATTTAATCTTCCAGAAACCCTTGGAGGTGAGGAATACCCACTACAGGTAGGGAAACTGAGGCATAGCGAAGTCAAGTCACTTGTTCAACCCTAGTCTAGGACATGGTCCAGTCGGGACCAGGCAGATCACCTGCACAGTATCCTCTTGTGAGCCCTAAAGCGTGTGCACAGTCACCTGTGAGATCAAATCTATCGTTCCCACTGTGCAGAGGCAGGAAACAGAGGCTTGGGGGAGTTAAACGGGGTCCCAGCTGCACGCTAAACCTCTAGCTGCCGCCCACAGCTCCCAGCCATTCCCCTGTCCCCACGCCAGTCTGCTCAGAGAAACAAAGGTGCACGTTGGGAAAGGCTGTATCTAATGGCCCTTGTCCGAGCTGGGTGCCAGGTGTCAGGAAGTCAGAGAGACCCCTGCACGTTCCCCAGGCAGGGATCCCTGGAGCAGCAGGGAGAGGCTAGGCTGGGGAAACGGTAGGACCTTTGGTGTGATTTTTGCACAGGCCTCCCACAGTGAGCATGTCTCCAAGGACATGTGTAGGTGTAGCTGATAAGATAATTGCCTTGGCAATGTCCTCCTTGGAAGCAGGTCACCTGGGGAAGTAAGAGGTGGGCAACCTGAGCTCCCCAACGCCCAGCTGGCTGAAGATGCCCACCCTACTCCAGGAGCCCCGAGAGGAGACAGGCACACTGACAGCACAGCAGTGAACTCCCCGGAACACCGATGAACCTCATCTGAGCCAAGCATGCCGAAGTCTGTGCCGTTCCTCGACTCACAAGCTTTTCCCTCCTCACCCCTAATATTTCCTGTGAGATCTACCCCGATGAGCCTCCCTGTCTCAGTTCCTGCGCTGGATCCCTCAATATGTGCTATGCTTTGCACAGACTGAAGTCATTCATGCCCCAGGCCTTGGCAGTTGGAGCACCGTCTCTCTGGTTCCCTTTTCCAGAGATCTGTGTGGCACTTTCTCATCTCCTTCCAGTCTCAGTGCTAATGCCACCTTCTCTGAGGGTCCCCCCGAAGCTCTGCTGTACCATAGCATTCCGTTCACTTCCACCAACCACACATCCCGCTCCAATCTGGCATTGTACTTTATTCACTTGGCCATCGGGCTCCATGTGGAGGAGAGCCGGGACTTGCTTGCCTTTGTTGCCCCCAGCACACCATCTCTGAGTGTGAACAGGGCTTGGCTCAGTGGTGGGTGGGAGCACCTGTGCACAAGCCTGGGGCACCAAGCAGGCTCTCGGGAAGTCTCACCCTCTGGGAATGCCTCAGATGCCACTCATGGTCTTCAAACCCCCACCCTGGCCTACCAGCCTCTGTCCCCAATGTGCTCAGGACCTGGGGAAGCTGTGGGAGGGAGGGGGTCATGTCTACAAGCAAAGTCACAGATAGGGGTGAGGGTACCAAAACCATTCGTAGCAGCAGATGGTTGACTAAGATGCTATTCAGACCTCTGCCAACACTGGGTACCCCCCTCTGGCCTCCCCCTCTGTGGCTTTCTCTTGTCTCTCAAGTCTTAGTGTTATTATGCTATTGTAAATTTTAATACAAATTAATATTAATGTTGATTAATATTTAAATATTTCAGATCTGTATATTGCAGAAACCGTAAAATGAACATTTTAGCAATGTGGTGCATTTGTGTTAGGTAAGTAGATCGATGGATGGATAGATAGATGATAGATAGATAGATAGATAGATAGATAGATAGATAGATAGATAGATAGATAGATAGATAGATAGGGATAATTCAATAGACTGATGGATTGATCAACCGATCGATCAAGAGATTTTAATTTTGTTCTGGTTGAATTATTTAAAAGACCTGTAGATAGGAAGTTTTGTTTGTCTGGGTTTTGTGGGTCTCTCTCTTGTGACCCATGACCTTAAACTCCTAACCCTCCTGCCTCCATCTCCCAAATGCTGGGGCTACAGACATGCCTGGCTAGGAACAAGATGCTTTTTAACTATATTCAGGCAGCTGCTGCCTATGAATAAGGACATTTTTGACCTAAGTATAGTCAGGTGAACAACTTCAAAAATTAACATAAAAAGGCACTTTTATCTAAGTGTGAGAATTCATTTGACTTTCCCCAGTTTCCCACCGAAGTCCTGGCAGTCCGGGAGCTGGTCCAGATTGCACCTCACGAGAGCTGGCACGCCCCTTGTGCTGGCATCTCTTTGTTTCGTCTGCCTTCTCTGGCTTCCTTGACTCGTGCATTTTGGAAGCGTATCTTGTTTGTGGCTTTTGCTCTCAGCTTTCATCCGCTGGTGGGTCTTAGTGATTAGATTCGGGTGGCTCACTTTGGGCAGGAACACAGAAGCGATACGTCCTCATTGAAGTCTGAACAGCCTAGAAATGAACATATATTTTGGGATGCCTATGACTTAGTCACTGCCAAAACCTGAATACATATAACCACTGCCTAAGCCTACATCCACACGGTCACTGCCCGAGCCCGAGTTCACAATACCTATCACGTGAGCCTGAGTCCACAACAGTCTTTGCCTGAGCCTGAGTCTACATAACTGTCATCTAAACCTGAAATCTGTACAGCTACTAAACGCCCGAGTGCGCACCGTCACTGCCTGATCCTGTGGCTAATAGAGTCACTGTCCACCCCGACAATGTCTTCCGATGCTCCCAGCCTCCTACACCCAACCACCCAAAGACAGTGCTTGCTACAGCCACCCTGAATTTGGACCATCCTTATGGCATCGTCCATCTCAAGTGAACAATGGCTGACGACTGAACATTTTCACTGGCTTCTCCAATTACGCAGTCTCCAGGTTGTACTCAATCCTGTATGTTTGGGATGAGCGCCTTGCTTGATGAAATTATCCTTTTATCACGTGTATAAGTACTAACACCATCTCTAGGTGGCGAACATCTAGACTTCTACCTCCAGGCTGGAGCTGGGTGTGCCTGGTACCTTGGATGGACTGTAGCCCATGGAGTGGGGCTGGGGGACTGTGTAATGCCACTTCAGGCTAATGGGAAGCTCCTGGCACAACTCAAGGGCAAAGGCTTCAAGAATGGCGGGTGTTCTAGGATGCAGTCCCTGCACAAGTCCGCAGTGTGTGCCTCACTGGACCTGAGGCACACCAGAGAGTTCAAGCTTGTTTTTGAACAATGGTCAGAATTTAATGTAGTTTTCTTCCCCTAAGAAAGAAGTGTCAGGGGAGAGACCATTGAAGAGAAGGAGAGCATCTCACGAGCATGGGGACATTTGACAGACTTTCCTGTACACACACACTTCCTACGCCTGAAAAGGCTCAGGCGCCTGCTGTAACCTTCTTCCTCACACTGTTTTCCATTTCCGGATTGAGACCTTCTGTTTTTCAAAATGTTCATTTCAATGGTAGAGCACTTGCCTAGAGTCCCCCAGTGAGGGGCTGGGGGTGTGGTTCAGTGCCTAGTATATGCAATGCCCTGGATTCCATTCTTGGTAACACACACACACACACACACACACACACACACACACACACACACACACACACACACCAGCAGGGTTCTGGAGAGTTGGCTCAGTGCTTAAGAGTACATATTATTTGTACAGGGACTCAAGTTCAGTTCCCAGCATCCATATCAGACAGCTTACAACCACCTGTAACTCTAGCTCCAGATGATCCAACACTCTCTTCTGGCCTCTGTGAGTACTTGAGTACACATAGGGTGTACCCGTGTGTGTGTGTGTGTGTGTGTGTGTGTGTGTGTGTGCGCGCGCGCGCGCGCGCGCGCGCGCTAGCGAGCGTGTACACACAAATAAGTAAATAAAGCATAAATCTTTTTTTCTAATGAATAAAATGATCATTCCAAGATGATTCTTGGCCCAGTGGATCTAAGACTTCCCTTGGCTTCCCCTCAACAGCCTCATATTCATATTCTGTCTGTCTGACGATCTTCCCCCTCCTTCCTCCCTCCCTCTCCCTCCCTCTTCTTCTCCCTCATTCCAGCTGTTAAGTTTACATCAGAAATCCCCCTATGTGTGAATACTCCTGTATTGAATGTTTGGTCCCCAGCTGCTAGCACTGTTTGAAGGGGTTCTAGAAATTTCAGGAGGCCTAGCTAGAGGAGGTGGGTCATTCGTGGTGTGCCTCTGAGGGTTACAGCTAGTCCCAGGACTCTCTACACACGAACGGTCCGCTTTTGTCTATTGTGAAGTCTCCTCCTCCAGACACCCCCACCTCCATGATGTTCTACCCCAGTCCGTGGGACCGAGTGGCTAAGGACGGATCCTTTGAACCATGAGTCAAAAGGTAGTTCAATAGGCTGTTTCTGCCACATCAGTGCAACACAAAAGTAACATTTCAGGCCTCACCATTCCCTTCAGTAATTCTCCACCACAGCCCTGAGTTGTCACCCATTTGGTAACAATTCATTCCCACTCTGCACTTCCAGGAAGACAGGTCCCAGATGTCCCAGTGTGCACTGTGTGTTCTGCATTGCTTGCCCGGCCCAGGCTGGCCCCAGGGAATGTTTGCTGAGCGTGTGGACCTCGTTGTGACCTTGACTTTCAGTTTGTGTTTGAGACGCACTGATAAGATAGTGGGCCCAGCAGTGCCCTTCACTCCCCCATCATTGCAGACACAGGAGGTTGAGGCAGACACTGGGCACTCAAGGACCTTGCATCTCACTCCTTCTCAGGCCTGTCTCGGGTGCAGGTGGTGAGGAAAAGAACAGAGAACAAGGTTTGCTCCCCCTCAAG